TTTATGTTGTACTTTTAATCGCAAAAATCTTCCGAGATGGATGAAAACAATGCTTAAATAGTGGATTGAAAGCCGCGTGAGATTCGAGAGAATGAGGGACTCGTGTAATTAAAAAAGTACCCCCACCCTTCACGGAACCATCCATGCAAATTATGATGCAGGGTGTTTCTTTTAAACTCTTTTTATAATATTGTTAAACAGTCTGTCAAAAGCTGCGTCTGTTGAAATATGGTCTGGTAGGAGTTTACCGCCGTTTCAGAGGTTCTTGCTTGCTCCATCATCAGGGCGTCAAGTCATGAGAACAATCTTACCGATGCACAAAACTTTTAGTATGGTATCCCAAGGCTCATTCACCGACATTTACACAATACCGCGAAAATAATAATATTAATTTAAATCATATTTTTACATTTTTCTATTTACCTTTGAATTTTTACAACATGTACCAGGCTGAAAAGGAAATCCGTTGATATGCTACTCCTGACTGAAGCCTCGTTTATGATATAAATCGGGTAGTTTGTTGTTCGCATTTCGTCCATTAGCTCACAGCTTACACTGGTTGCAGAAAGATGTTTCCTTTGTAAAGTAGTTGTTAAAGCGATTCACACGATGAGATCGATAAGGTTGTGCGTGGTGGATATTAAAGTTTCTCTGAATGTTGACCGTTTTTAATAACTTGTGATCATATTGAATTTTTTTTCGGATTCTCCCTACTTATTGCTATTACAGAACGTACGTGTTTTGCCGATGAATTCTGTCGAGCATGAGATTTTGAAAGGTTTGTAGGCTTGTAAGTGGTAAGTTATGAGTTTTAATGTATCTAATAGAGACAGCTACTGACAACCACGTTACATTACGATGCGGGTATCTCATATCCTGCTCGGCATGTCTCTTCATCGGTTCATCTGCAAATATAATACACCGTATTTTATGCGAAAATATTTTGATTACGGTCGCCCTGATTATGAAGGCTTTAATCATCTCTGAAACGTCGGTAAACATTTACCAGACTACACGACACAACAACCCAGAAGACAGTCATCTTCAGACTCGCCTCACAACTTCGTCGTAAGAATCACTTAATACCACTAGGCAAACTTCAGAAGCAGAGGACGTGATACTTTTTGAACAAAGAACCAGATAGCAGTGGAAATGTAAATTCTGGCCTGAGATTGCTGTAACCTGTATCTCAGCGACCAGATGAACCCATTCCGAGTCCCTTGGTGCAGCTAAATCTGTCCATTTTCTACTACATGAGATTTGTGCTACATGAAATAGCATGCATCCAATTAAAAGCCCTTGAGCTGGGGACACTGTATAGCGGCTTGTATGCAGCTTTATGATAATTTCCCTGACTGATACGTCCCATAGAGCCGGGGCTTGATCTGGACCGAATTAACCGCTTGAGTCGTCATGTCGCTCTTACCGTAAACTTATCAACCCCCTCCAGCACATTACACCGCACTCCTACCCGGACTCACTCACAGAACTCACCCTCTGTGCGATCCCTTATGGAATTCTCGTGAGTGATTATCATAGGGCTGGATCGTGTAACTAGATTTCTGGCTAGAATGGGGAAGCTTCATCCCTCAAGGAAAGCGAAAGGATGAAACCCCCAGCGGGCGGCTTCCAACATATTAATTTGCCCACCCAGGGCTTGGACGGTCGAGTGGTAGGTCCCACTATAAAGAGATATAGGGGTGGTAGCTACCCTTAGCTTTGTCGTTGTTGAAGTGGAGGTCTCTAACTTAGGGTAGGTTATTCATCCCCCACCTTGAATCTCTTATATATCTCTGCTGTGTTCGGTAGTGCGGTGTGTTAAGGGGTTGTGGGGTGGTGGGGGAACATGCCCATCCATCCGTTTTAATATGCAGGGGTTGGTTGTAGTCTGTTCATCCCCCTTGACATCTCCGCACAGTTCGCAGCATGAGTTCTGCACCACGAGTTGCTGAGTCAACTCCGTACAACTATTTAAAGCAAATTAGAACAAGGATGGGAAAGGCACGCATTGAAACATACTTGGTGCACGCGTTACTATGGGAACCGTTGACTGGGAGCGGCTGGAGCCTGATGCTGGCCGTTTTCGTTATGTTTAGAATGCTTGGAAGTTCGCCATGTGAGGGTAATATTGAAATGGGTGAGCTGAATTCATGTAACTGGATAAAATATTGGTACATTACATAAAAATTCTGAGATTTATGATGTTTATTAACTAAATGCAATAAAAATATATCCAGTTGGATAACATTTTAGATTCTCCCGGCGGTGAGTCCTAAGATGGCTGTCTTCTGGGTTGTTGCGCCGTGTAGTCTGGTAGACGTTTACCGACAGTTCAGAGGAATCTGGTCTGATGATGGCGGCAGCAAGAACTCAGAAGCGATGGAAAACTTCTATCAGGCTACGCGACGCGACAACCCAGAAGTCAGCCATCTTAATTTCCAAATCTGTACACCTGTATTGCTGTGAGCTTTGTAAAAATAGTTTTGTATATGCAGTGAACATGGATCGACAAATATTTGCTCATTTCATAAGTAAGAAGATTTCTACTCGCTGGACATTTCTTCAAAAAGAGAAACCGCCATGAATGATTGTTGCCTTCAAACATCTGGTAACAACCGATGAGGTAGCTCATTACGATGTGCAGGTAGCTCTTTCATCTCAGTTTTTTTATATCTGTGTCCTGCAACGCCTAAATATTATTTTTCCGAAATTCTGCGGCGATAATCGCCTTGACGTTAGCTAGCATCAAATCCTGTCACGTAGTGCAACAGTAATCAAAATAAATCGAACATGGAATTTTAAAATTGGAAATTCGTTGTGTAATTCAGTGTGCTGTAACAGTACTGGTCTTGTATTTCAAGTTGATTGCTTTCATTAGGCCTACACGCAGAAAATAATGCAAGGGCTCAGGTTTATAAACTTGTCTCTTGTAGGTTAGATTTCTAATCGGTCTCGACTTTTTTATATAATCGGGTGTAACGGAGATGTGTATACGTTTTTATATCATTACCGTGCACATATACAACACGCGCGCTTCCATGACGGAATTGGAGCTTGCTTTTATTTAAAGACCCATTTTTTCCCCTTCTGTCTATCTATCTCTTCGTTTTATTCCCCGAATGTAAAATGGAAGGGGATGCGGGTCGCTTACCCATAGTGATCATCACTGAAGCGGCAGGAAAAAAGAGCGATTTTTTTAAAAATGAGATAGAAGCTTCTTGCGTTTGACCAATCACAGACGTGGGTGTTAAATTCTGCATTCTGATTGGTAGTAGGGGGGTGTAATTCATCATCGTTGTCGTCATCCCTTTAATGTAATGCTGTGTTACTCCCCCTGTACGCGTACAGAGGGGTGAAAATAGCAGCAAGGGAGGTTTTATTTCATAGAACTCGTTTTTCTCTCTCTCGTCTTGTCGATAAATGAAAAATGCTTTTGTTCATTTTCCCTTCTTTGTCTGTCTCTCTCTCTCCCCCTGGTTCCTCACATTTTTATTTCCTCCCGTTGCTGTTGGTCGTCAGCCATTTTCGAAATGTGTTGTTGCTGGTACTTTTAATTTGAATTGTTATATTTCCGGGGTTTAAATTGAAAACATTCCAATACAAAATGTCCCCCCTTCCACCTGTTTTCTCTTCTCGTAGCTGTTATTGTCACGTTGCACGAGACTAAGATTTCCAACGAGAGATATTTGTGCTCTGTGGCCAGCTGTGCGAACAGAATGGAGTGTCTCTTCATTTGTAATGAAAACACGAGACTGACTGGAAAAAAAAGTTATTTTAATTTCTGAAAGTTTCACTTAAATTACTGCAGGTCATTTTCAGAATACCACTAACGCGAAATAAAAGTTCCTTTTTAATAGAAAACTTTCATTGTTTTTGTAGTTCGGGCATGGTACGAATTTATTTTGTTACATCCCACGCCGCGCTGTAGCTCACTTCTGCCGTTGCATCTTGAAGTTAACTCTTCTACTTTAGAATTTGGAATAACCAATCCGTCCATCATCATTCAGTGGACAGGACTTATTAGGAACTGCATCTAATCACCTCATCACCCGGAAAACCTTTTTATTTTGTTATGTTCTTACTGGTGTTTAGACTGTGCCGCAATACGGATGTGTCGGAGAAGTTGCCGCGCCAACACGGCGGAGGTGTCTCTCTCACCTGTTCGCGCTAAGTTCTAGAGAAAACAAACACTGTGAATACGTGAGGAACTGACGTGAAATATAAATTAATGTTTTTAACAGTTGTTGCACACTTGCCGCAAATGTAGATATGCATACATTAAAGGTTTCCTAGCGTACCTAATTCTTTCGCAAAACCTTACTGTCATAATTTGTACCATACCGATACATATAAGAAGTTATCATCAACTTAACGAGACCCAAGGAGTGTTTCATCTCCATTTAAATTTGTTTGGTCAAACTATCTTTCTATACGTCTTCCAACATTCATTTCTCGTCTCTCCATGACAATTTGTTTTTAATATGATCCGACTGTTCTGTAGTCTGAAATTCTATTAGTGATACAGTTAATCTTTATTTTCTCTCTGATATCTTACTACCCGTTTCATATCCAAGTGTAGTTCCCTCTTCTGATGCTAGAAAATAAATTTCACTAAATTCAATCCGTAATAATTTTTCGTACAATATTTGAAGGCAACATTACGATCTGCCACCGTCCAGATTTTGTTGAGAAGTTGCCGCTGTGAAACTGAGAGATAAAAATATGTTTTACGTCGTCGTGTTATTTTAACTTCCAAGCACAAGTTCCCAATCAAAAGATTGCTTTTTTTCGAAGGCCTCTCATCACAGCAGCATTAAAGGGCCGTGCCATTGCTTTGACCTCAGACTGTCGTATCGGAAATTGTGGAGTGTGCTGTCAACAATTTTGCTTTCGTAGGGTAGTCATTGGACGATTAATGTCTGCTCAAGGTTCCATTCTTTTGTAGTCTTAAGATTACTGCACAACGTAGGATATCTGTAAGTCGAATTTCTTTCTTTCAGCCCGCCTTAAAGACATCGTGGAGAAAGAAGCTGCTGAGAATGCTTTAAGACAGTCGGAGGAAGCAAAACGCCAACAGATGCAAGTAGATCAAGACAAAACTAAGAGGAAACAAGAAGCTCAAAGAGAGGAACAGATAGTACAACGGAGGAGGGTAACCGGCGAAGGTATGTGCAAATTTTGTGTATAATTGCTTTTAACCGGTAGTCCACGCACTGCTGTCGGCCCGCAAATTCTTGTTGGCGTTGCGTTGTATATTACCAGAGCTGAACAAAGATTGAGGCCTTGCGACCGGTTGATCACCCCGAGGAGTTCTACCAGATATCCGAATAGATTAATAAACCTCCCATGTGCGAGGAGGCCAAGGTCCTTCAAGGATTGTAGACCCAAAAGAATAAGAAGTACAAAATAACACCATTTATAACTAAACGCACTTCTTTATCTACTAAATAGTTTGTGTTCAATGTGCTATGTATGTGTATATTTTTTCGAATATTGTCTTACTAGGCAAGTAAAATATAATTAAATATTTCTTTTCTTCTTAATCTGACAGGAACGTTCTGGCAATTTAAAAATTGTTTTATGCCCTCGTCAAAATGTTTAATTATGTACGGGTAACTTTTATTTAAAACAACATTGAACGGGGGACAGTAGGCTTTCATTATTGTATCTAAAGAAATTAATAAACATCCAGTTTTGAAAATAATATCCAAGAATTGAAACACTGAAAACTAAAATGAAGCTGTGGGTCATGACAGTTGTTGGTCAGACGTAGGAACAGTCGTTTCATGGTTAGTGACGCAAACTGTGAGGCCAAGAATACCTTAACAGCGTTACAGTGGCAACGATTATAATAATTTATGCGTAACAGACACATGTAGTTGTAAAATTCGTCCTGTTGGTATGTGAGGTGATCGGGTTGGTTGAAAATTATTGTGCCGTTATGTTTGAGACGGATACTGTAGACCCATAAACACATGGCCACTTTGCAGTACGATGCGTGGTAGTACTGTAATCTAAATAATGCTTCGGTGATTGAAGCCTGTCTTTGTGCATTTTCGATGTTGTGAATTTGTTGTTGGTAGAGCCGCGTTTGATCGGTGGATAGAAATGGTTTAATAAATGCATGTCAGATGTTTATTTTCGGAATTTGCATGCCACGTGATACTATCATAGTGTGAACGCTGTAAAGTCATGTAAATAAACGAGACGTTTCAAATTAATTGACTGCTGTAGCCTAAAACAATTTCAATTATTGCGCCACATGTAATGAACTACTATATTCATAGGAACTCTCAATTTTCGTCACACGGTGAGAACAGTATTAATATTTTCATTTTGAATGGCAACACCTACGCAGAGTTTCGCTTAAACATAGCAGAACCATCGAATTAGAGCAGGCTTAATATATTCGAATTTTTTATGGCTTTACAATTCGTACTAAATTGTACGCCTTGGAATACGCGTTATTTTTAAACGTTCTTTGTTGACTTGCATGATTTGTCTTTATGTTCACCTGTTACAAACCAGTCTCCATACAGATTTTTCACTACACAGAGTCAGGAAACATTTTTGTTTGCATTTCACAACGTGAAAAACTACTTCAAATAAAACTAGCGGGTATTAATGAGTCGATGTTTTATGTCATGTGGCAGTGTTTTTATAGCGAGTCGTTTTGAGGAAATTGTTAAATAGGACCCATAATTAATTTAATGGAGCAGATTCATTCTTGAGTAGCTTACAGTCACTCTGCTTGCCAAGATACTCCCCACATTTATGAAACTCCAACGTTTATTACTATATTCACCGGATCCCGGCACCTGCCGTACCTGAGCCAGATGAATCCATTTCACAACATTTACTTAAGATACGTTTGATTATTATTCTAGTATTTACCGAGATATTCAAAGTGATTTCTTCCCGTCAGGTTTTTGAACAAAATTTTCTACGCATCTTAAGACCGAACTAATGTTGTATAGTGCGGTTAATAGGCCTGCTAAATTTTATCGAAATCTGTTGAGTATGGACGATTGAGGCAACAAGGACCTCTGAAACATCGGTAGACTCCTACCAGACTATAAGGCCCAACGACCCATAAGACAGCCATCATTTCGTTGGAATTACCTTGGAAGTCAGAAAGCCTCGTTTCTCGGGACGTTTACCTCACTAGGAGTTGAGTCATTACGTTAGTTGGAATAATCGTCTGCGGCATTAAGTTACTGCAGATAATCAATAGCGTTTATGTGTGAATTATTCAGGCGCATTTCAGACGGTTTGCGTTACGCAGACCCGGACGCCCTACTCCGCTGTTGTGTGCGGAGAAGTCTGCTTAGTTCAGGGCGTTGGATCTCAGTCCTCGTTCGCTTCTAATGCAGCGTTGCTTCCATTCCTACAGGTGTCGATGTAAGAGTTACTTACAACCAAATATCAGTTCCTGAATATTCTATTTCATTTAGCCTGGAATGTCAGCACAAATATACCTGTAAGATTTGAGGTTTTCACAGCGGTATGAAGATTTCTGTCTTCTGGGTTGTTGCGCTTTGTAGTCTGGTCGATGTTAACCAACGTTTCAGAGGTCATACTGCCTCCGTCATCAGGGCGATTCTTAGTATGAAGATTTCTGTCTTCTGGGTTGTTGCGCTGTGTAGTCTGGTCGATGTTTACCAACGTTTCGGAGGTCATACTGCCTCCTTCATCAGGGCGATTCTTAGTATGAAGATTTCTGTCTTCTGGGTTGTTGCGCTGTGTAGTCTGGTCGATGTTTACCAACGTTTCGGAGGTCATACTGCCTCCGTCATCTACCAGACCACACAGCGCAATAACCCAGAAGACAGAAATCTTCACAAATACACCTATTTATAAAATAAATTTACTTATGACTTAGCAACGTATTTCTACTGGAGCAACGAACGACTCGTTAGCGTCAGTTATTTTTAAGTCATTAAGTGCACAGTTTCTAGTCAAATGGAATATTTATATTAAATATAAATTTTAATCGGATTTCTTGTTATAGAATATTAGCTCACAGATTGACTTGCAAGACGTCATGACGACACTGTACACGCACATGACATGTAGAATCTTTGGACCTTTGGCCTGAAAGTTAATTTAAACGTAATTGTTATATCATGAACACTGGTTAGTATCCGAGCTGTATTTTGTGACATTATGAACAAGTTCCCTCTGATAGGGACCTGTTCATATGTTTCCTCGGCAAATGATCCAGAAGTGCCTTCTTCTGTGTGTAAATGATGATGAAAATGGAGTAATTGTTGGGATGCCACGGAGAAACCGGGGAAGCCCCGGAGGAAAACTCCGTGATACCTGGACCACGGCCTTGCCCAACACAAGTTATAAATCCGGGCACCACCGGGAATCGAACCCGGGACCCCAGGATTACAAGCCCAGCAAAAACACGATTTTTTTTTCTTTTTTCGTGGACAGTGCAGCCGATTTGAAAAATATAGCTAGGGCGTTTTAAGTAGTTACTAATGTAATAGTAGTTTTCGTGAATTTTATTTCAGATTGGGTTTCGGATTGTCTGTTGAGATTTTTTGCGTCCACCGACTTATAACACGTGGAGAAGGGGATGGCGTGTTTTAATGAGGAACACTGCACGCTTCTTGTTAGATGCTGTAACCCCTGAGGCTTAGCGTTAGGGCCCTGAGGCTGTATTAGCTATAGGACCACATAATTTTATTACACGAAGACTACAGAATATGAAGACGATAGTTACAGAGCATACTGCTTAAAACTGAAAGTTTAAAACTTATAATGAATGGATAGAAAGTGATACCAAATGCGGCTTAAAATAAGATTCCCAGTTGCCATCTTCAGGGTGAATATGTAGTGGGGCGAACTCTGGAAGGCGTCCAGAACTCGCCCCACTACACATTTACGATTTGCAGGTATGTCCCCATCTCATTTCACGCTGTAGCTCTGTAACAACCACATGTGAAGTGACATCGTTAAATAAATTAGTCATCAGGTCACAGTCGATTAAACATAATCGCGAAGTGTCGAGTATCGATTGTAGCACACAAGGATTCATAAGTATCGAGTTGTAGACAGAGGAATATTAAAAGAACGCGTGCAGACTGGAAGATAATGAGGTGGCAGGGTGAACAGACAGACAATTAGGCCTATCAGCTTTCTAAAGGAACCGATGATTATCCGTTTCTGGGAGGGGGAGAAATTGAAAAGAAAGCAGCATAGGGGTTGTCATCCGCACATTTAACGTCTGCCTATATATTTTCTTCTGAGTCCGTATTATTTCTCGCATGGTTCCCATGCTCATCTGTTTTTAAGTTTGCAGCTACGATATCCACTTTAACAAATTGTATGCCTATTGACTAATCTTAACTTATTTGAAACCTTCTGCAGCAAATATTTGGTTTCCTTTGTTGTTGTGATTTCTTAATGGTGTCGGAAGTAAAGTGATGTCCCTTAAGGAGTAGATTGTGTATGAATCAGACTGTGGGATAAGTGTGCTGTTTTGATGACTTCAACATCGAACCCGAAATTAGAGCGTAATTACGTTGTGATGATAGTGAATAATTAAAAGTCAGGCTATCCACACCCACAGCCGTTCAGTTTATATTAAGCAGAACTGGGAATAAAAAGCCAGTCATAAAAAAGACGTTGATTGATACATTACTTTAAAGGAAAAACCAAGACGGACTTAGATTAAATTACTTCCTTCTCTGAGTTTTAATAAATAATTCGCTTTATTTAAATGTTTCGACTAAAAGTCGCGGCAGAGTGGTTAGCACGTATTCGGAAAACCCTGGGTTCAAATCTCCCTAGCTTTGTAACACCGTACGAGCAAACGAAGGAAATGCGTGTGTCTGTATTTTTGCTAAGTGCGGCGAAGAAATCGACAGTGTCTTGATGCACATGTGTAAGTTTGTATCGTTGAAGTGTTTAGTTGTAGTTTCCGCTGCGTATGGTTGTAGGATTGCATTTCATCAGCGAAAACGACCATGAATAGCACAAAATTAAAACAGTGAATTCCATTGGAGTCTACCAGTCGTGAAAATGTTATTTTATTTTATTTGTAGTGTTCTGTCTGACGACAGGTCCATATATCATGAAAAGGATCCTCCCAACCTCTTCAGGTTGTCAGGGACCTGCTCATACATATATACATTCTTGGCAGAGATCAGAA